CATACCTTGGAAGTCTGGTCTCTGACCATACCGAATATATTAGCAGCATTTCCCTGGCATGGATCCTTAGGCATCACAGGCTCACTATGCGTATAGCCATTCTTCTCATTTTCCTCCGATTCCTCCATTGCTGTAGTTTTTCTTTCCCAAAGATGCCATAAACCAACAGCAAGACCCCCAAAGATAAGAACACTTGCCATCATGCATGCTAAAAAAAGAAGCCCTTTGTACCACCAGTAAGTTATATTGAAGGGGTTATGTAAAAGACATCTAACACGATGACAGAGATCACCAAACCAATCGTAGATGCCACGACATAATTCCAGACCATACAATATTCCCAGTACCAACCAAGACTGACATGCCACATCTCTTGGTGGCAGGAAAGATAGGAGAGTTTACAGACTCTTGAACTTTACCCTCTTCCTGCAGTTAAACATGTGATATTTTGGGAACTCAGTATGGGAATTTTAATAAGTGAATACCAGAAAAGGAAAGTAAATTAACACTTACCAGTGGAGGTTCAGATTCTCGAGTGACATAAGTTTGAATCTCAAGATTCAGTGTATCAGAATACATTGGGCAGATTGACTCCATATCAACAGTGTGAAGAAGTGAAAGCTCATTTGATCTTTTCACAGCCCAGACTATCAATACATTCTTGGGCAGACAAGGTTTACCATCCTTTATACGGTGGAGAATATCACTCAAGATAGCTAGAAATGGTGAGATTCCAATGCCTCCAGCAACTAGAATGAGGTTTTCATACCTAAGAGAACCACAATGGCACAGTCAATCTATTAGCAAAAAATCTATCAAATTATCGAAGTAGGGAAGTTTGATCATCCAACAAAACATAATGTCATAAAAGTAGCTGAAAATTACTGAGGAAGATTTTTCCCTCTCTGTTCTCTCTGCATATACTGATATTAGTAATTTAGACACGCTAAAACCAGGTAATCCACATATCCTTCACTCAAGAAGTTCTAAATTGGAAGCTAAACTTGCCTTTAATAAACAAGAGTTTGTTAAAAAAGTGAGGCCACCTTGGGACCATCCACTATACATTGATACTAGTTTTAAGCACAGATCCCAACCTTAACAGCATCAAAATTTTCTTTCTTGTTTTTCTTTTCTCTTTTGATATCTATCAGTAGAAGGTGAATCTAAACCAAGGTTTCCATAATTAGTATGGACAGATGTTGATCCAGAAAAAGAGTACATACGTCAAGTGATATGGCGATTCATGCCCATAAGGTCCCTCTACAGAAGCCGTTATCTTGGAATGAGGCTTGAGGAGTAGCCCTGTCTGAGGCTCATCCTTGGAAACATTCAAGATATGTCCTTTCAGTTTTGATGTCCATTCACCAAGAACCTTTATGAGAACTGAAAGATGATTTTTACCCTCCAACGGACTAGAGGACACACTGAAAGGATGCCACTGCAGAAAAGATAATTCTCGAGCTTGAATGAAAATCCAACCAAGAGCATTGTACCGAAGATCTACATTGTAGAGCAAGAGAGTAAATCACATGGTAATCAAATATTCAACAAGAATCAACTAGACCATGAAGAACTATTATTACTTGCAGGTTTGGCTACAACCAGTTCCACTGTTCCACAAGGACGGCATGTGGCTGAAAGTATATCAACAGTCTTCCGTGATTGACAGAATCTAAGAAAACGATCGAGCATGAAGAGAAATATTCCAGCAGCAGCCATTGTAAAAATGAAGTCTCCAACATGCAAGGCCAAGAAGACAACAAAGACGACATATAGTTGATGGCTGTAGAAGAATAATTCAAAATTTATTCTCCTTACAGAAGGAAGTGATGGAATCCACATCAATAGACCAGCTGAAAGGCTGATAACTCCAGCAAGATTGGCAATACCAATATTTTTCCACTGCAAAAGCTGCACAAAATTATATGAAAGAAATTTAGAATATTCTTCAATCTCTTTATATCTTTTTAAATTGTCTTCAATATGTAATGTAGTTTTGATATCTACGAGAGAGATTAGAGGATTTACAGAGCAGAAGATTGATAGGATTTTTTACTGCAAACATTTTGCAACAAATTGAGAAATCCATGTACCAAATGCACTTCAGCTGATGGAGGATAAATAGAGATGCAAATGAAAAGCTTTAAAATATTGTGGCTACTCCAAATCATGCATAAGAAACAGGAATACTTGCGAAAAGAAGCACAGAGTCAGTCACAGCCACAAAACAGCCGAGGGAATCAGGCAGCATTATTAATGCACTATGCAAGGACATGAATTATCTGGTGAAGCTAGTGGCGGAAAGGTAAGAAGGAGGACTCTGTTCCACAAATCTGAAAGCTTCGCTGTTCCATGACCTTCAAGATTTTGAAGTTTTGTAGCTTTCAGATGTAAAAGGAAAGAGAAGGATGCTAAGGGTAGGGTAACTTTTCTAGATCCAATTTGCTTTAGTTCGACACAACCAGACCAACCTTATGGGTAACTGTTACTGTCCGTCCACTAACTATTGATGCCACAGCAAGATTAAACACGAGAGTTCCTCGCTTTCTCCTACTGTATTATCTCTTTCTATTAAGTTTATATGGCTTATCTTATTTCGAAATCGTAGCCTGCTATCCACTAGTTTGAAACATTGGAAAATATGACATAGGCAGGGGTCTCATAACATGCCTAGCTGCTTTCAATTGTTAAATCCTGGATGCTATATGAAAAATCACATAGGATAAATCTGGAAAGGAGGTAGATCTGGACATGAACATAATCTGCCTTCATGGTCACACTTCAGTATCCCACTTATTTCAGATATGTTATAGTTTCACTTGTTTTGTTTGACAGAATATTCTAGCAGAGCCAAGTTCACATCTCTTTATAGGCCTTTCATATTTATTTGCTGTGAACCATTTTCTACTTATTCCAATAGGTGGAAAACAATGACTGGTTTTGATTATGCTTCAACTCAAGTTGATTGACCAATCATCCATGGTGTAGTTGTATTTTTGCCAACCAAAACGAACAGGTAGAAAAAAATTGAGAAGCAAAAATACCTATACTCGTGTCTTTATGCAGCGAGCATATGTTTTAATGTGAAACATATGCATGTCTTGAAGAGAATATGAGTGAAAATAAAACTTTAGGACTCACTTCTTCTAGGAGACGTCCCTGCATTGACCAACCAATTACATAAAATAGGCCATGAAGAGTAAACAACGACAGTGTGAGATGTCCCAACCATACATGATATCTGGTTGCATGCTCAAAAGGGATATCTATAACTCGGAGAAGAACTGATCCCCTTGCAACTGGCAGAAACAAAAATGCCAAGCAAAACAAGCCAATCAAACCGAAGCGAAGTCCTGTCAATTCCAGCATCATAGCACTGAAGAATTCAAGTTACAATGGGAAACTGTCCAGTTAAACAAATCTTTACACTCAGAAAAGAACGTAAACTTGCACTGTTTACATAACCATGAAAAAATGAATGGAACTAAAAAAATTCAAGATTCCAGCCTCATGTAAATAATCTTTGTCATAGAGAAACTAAAACACATTAGAGTTTTCACTTATATCAAGGACTAAATAAGAAGCAATAAAAATCTAGAATGCATGGTAATTTCTTCATATCAAGTAATGAACCTAGGAAATTAGATCAGATAGTTTTATGTATCAAGTGGATATTCACAAAGGACTAGTTCTCCTTGTTTAGTTTGATTAAGCATTACAAAACATAAGATAACTCTTCCTAAGTGTATCCAATTTAAATTTGATTCTGGAAACATTGTCAACTTGAACCTGGGCGTAATGGTGAACAACACCAAAAGTACTTAGTTTGATCAGAATTCTCGTCAATAAACTCCAAAGTAAAATGCTGCTGGGACAAAATTAGGAGACAGAAGGAAATAGTGCCATTGGATTGGCTGCAGGCCCATCCAATATTGGAACCCACTGTCAATCCAATGATATAGTGTATCCAGTCCCTAAATTTTGCCCCCGAATTTGGTCTCAATAGCAATATCCAATTTTAAATAATCAAACGGAGAAAAAAAATGAAGAAGCAAAGATCATAGTTCAGGTCAGAATTATATGAATAAAATTCATCTAAATTTTACCAGATCTCTCCCTGAAGGTTTTAAAATGTAGACTTCCGCATAAAAATTGGGAAATCATGTAGAAAGTTTTGAACCAACGTGAAATTTCATTCGGACAAACTTGAATTTTTATGCATCATACTTCGGCTGATTCAAAATGCATTACTTTGATAAGTGTGTGAAATTCAAGCCTATGCTTTTTCTCTGCAGAAGTGTAAAAGAAAAACTTAATTTTTACAGGAACTAAACAGAAATAGGCATTCCTGGAGAATAGCAGAAGTTAAGAATTAATGGAAAAGGCTCCAAAAAAGCAAAAACAAAAAATCATAGACACCACAAAAAGAATTATCATCAGAGAGAAACGCAAAACTCAAACTATGGACCTCAAACTGATGTAAAAAAGCAGTGTTGTCTACTTTGTTGCCTCAAAATAGACCAAAATGAATCAATAATACCATCAAAGAGCAGGCCCCTAGGACTTCAAAAGGGAAATATTTTACATGATAAGTTCATCAAATTGTCCTGTAAATCAGTTCAGCAAATATTTATATCAATTTTGATGGTTTCATGAATAGCCCATCAATTCTATGAAATTTTTTTATCTTGGTTATATTTAAGGGTAGCTGTTTATCTTCTCTAAAGGGTGAAAGGCATTTAGATATCTAAAATAACAAGGCAAATTAAATTGTCAACAAAGCAGCTAGTCCTAAGTAAACACGCTTGGCACCATTCAGGGATAACAGATGGAGCTAAGCTTCAACCCTAATTCCTAAAAGTTGCAAAACCCCAGAAAATGGCGAATATCATTTCAGAAGGAATTGGTTTCTGCAGCAACCTATTAAAACCACACTCAGCTAAACACATCAAAAAGGCAAAGAATAATCATCATAGAATGGTAGTCTACCTTTTCTCTTTGGAATGCAAGTCAAAGGAAGATATAATCTTCTGGTTCTTTATGGTATAGACGGTAACTGCCCATATGACATACACAGAAAAGAGGACAATCCCAATCAACTCTGCAGCAGAAACAACCCCAAATGGCCCATCCACGATAACTGGGAATGTCCACAAGCGGAAACGTGCTTTTCTTGTAGTGTTCCTATGGACAAAGTTCATGAACACAATCATCACGGGAATGAGTGTGTGTATAGAACATAAAACCTCATATTACAAAGTTCATACACACAAATATCATCTGAATGTGTGTGTGTGTGTGTGTGTAGGAGATAAGAGCTCATATTAAAAAGTACATACTCATGGAGTTCCTCTTCTCCAGAGATGATGAGAAGTATTATAGCAAGAAATGCAATGATGAGAATTGGGCCACTAAACAGCAGAAATATACTTCCTGTAGATTGTTACAGAATCATCAACCATCCAACATAATATAAGTAAAGCAAAAAACTCAAGTTACCAACCAACCTGTGAGCCCAAACACAGTCCCACGTGTAGCCTCAATCCATTTGTCAAACAATTCAGTCACAGATTCCAACGGATACACAAAAAGAAAAGTAGCCCAGGCAATGAAAATCACCCACATTGAAACTTTGAGAATCCATTTGACAGATGATAACCAAAAGGATGTCTTCTTGACATAGCCAAATCTATCATCTTCTCTTAAAAGAAGAGGTTCATGAGCTGAGTGGTCACCCATTGGAAGAAAAAAGAAAGCAAACAGATTATAAGCAATTGAATGGGCCTTTCCTAAACAGAAGTCATTAATATACAAGAAGACTTGGAAAAAGAACAACCCCTTCAACATTTCAGCCAGGTATATTTAGCATCAGGACAGACGTTCGAAGAAAACGAATTCCCAGGAAATTTGAGCCACTAATTGCTTAAGATGGATTGGAATACGAAGTATAACCTTTTTTGCTTTTTTTTTTACTGGTAAAAAGACTGAAAGTACTTTACTTCTGGAGTCCGCGAGCTACCAAATATCCCAGGAACAGTAGCATTATTTAGACCACATTTGTCCATCACCAATAATTTCTGTTGAGCCTTGTAATAATTTAATATTTACGAATCTTTTTTGGCTAAAGAACGTGACAAAAAATAACTGGTTTTTAACCACCAAACCTTTGGTTGGTCATGGCTCTCTTTCCTAAATCAATTCTCAACTTGTTTTTTTTTTGGGGGTCAGTCATCAATAGAATTTATTTTGGCGTTAACTAGTGGGCCCGTGGTTGTGCAATATATGATTTTTCTTTTCAATTTTTCACTCAGCCACTAAGAAAATAAAAATAAATTATAAAAAGTTCTAGAGTGATTAAAAATAATTTTTTATATAAACCTTCATAATTTAGAATTGTAGGAAATTAATAGAAAGACTTAGATAGTATTTGATAAAATTGAAAGGTAAAGTCTAAAAATTGAAATTTGAAATCTGTAATAAAAGCTGAAGTCTAAAAGATAAATGCTGAATCCGTGGACTGTTTGATATCCATTAAAATTTAAATACTTAATTAAATTAAACTGTTTGATAAATACACAACGTTTGAAAATAAATTAATTTTCAGTTTTACCTTTCCTTTCTTTACTTTGAAAATATTTATAAAATATATTTTTATCTAATAAAAAATTATGATATATCAACTCAATTTAATTCAAAATATAAGTCATAATCACTATTATCATATTGTAGTCAATATATTGAATAACATAATAAGTAAACAATAACTAATAAATATTTGAAAAATATTAAAAAAATTAGATTTTAATTTGAACAAAAAATGGAACAAATTAGAATATTAGATTTTAATTTATGGGTGGGTGCAGTGCATGTGTGTGCAACGTGTGTGTTTGTGTGAAAAGTGTGTGCATGTAATTAAATGTGTGTGTGTGTGTGTGTTGCAGAAGACAGTTGAAGACAAACAAGAAGATTTACTACCAGCAAAAAAAAAAAAAAAGGAAGAGACGATGGAAAAAAGACAGCGAAGTAATTCTTAGATAAATTGGAGGTTTTGGAGGGAAGACTAATTAGGGATTTAATAAAATTATGAAATATTTTTCATAAATATTATTAAACCATGCAATATACAAAATTTGCAATTTCTCTACATCATCAAACCTTAGTCAGTCAATTTTTATTTTTTTTTAGTTTTTCACTCGGCCACAAAAAAAAAAAGAAACAAAATTATTGAAAGTTCTAAATTGATTAAAGCTGATTTTTTATATAAACCTTCATAATTCACAATTACAGGAAATTAAAAAAATAAGGAGAGAAGATTTGTTAAATCTCTTTCCTATTAAATATATATATATATATATATATATATATATATATATATATATATATATATATATATATATATATATATATATATATATAAAATAACTAGATGAGAATAATTGAATAAGTTAAAATTATGATAATTTAATATTTAATGAGGAAAGACTTCTGAAAATATTAAGAAAATTTTTTGATTGACTACTTTAACCCTAAAATAATATATTAGGACAATATTAGTCTTATTTAATTTAGACCTCATATTAATAAGGTTTGATTGATGTTAAACTTTTAATTGAATAATTTTACTCTCACAATACTAAAATTATTAATATGAATTCATATTAATAAAATTCATTAATATTACACATATCCAAGCTTTTCATATTCTTTCTTTTAAAAGACAAAAATTAATTATTAAAATAATTAAATTTACTTTTATTCATGTCTATCTATTTTCATTAGTTGATGACAAGTTTCTGAATTTTCAAATGAAATTACAAATGTGCTTAAGTCTTATTTAGTATAAGATTTTATTTTAATATAATTTGAATAATATTATCAAACCCTAACTTTTCATTTTCTTCTCTTTTATGTTTTAGTTTTAATAAATCCTCTTTAGTTATATTTATTGGAAATACTAGAAACCATTTTATTTGTATCGATTAGCAATGCATCGAATATGTTCAGTCTCATAAATTATTTATCACAATTTAACTTTTTAAATTTGTTCAACCAATTGTTTATAATTAAATGGCCAATATAACTTAAAATAGTTTGCTTCTATATTTTTTTAATTTAATAAATGTCTACGATATGTTTTAGTTATATATACCCACATACTATAAAATATATTTGTATCATTGCTATGATGTTGCAAATAAAATTAATCTAAATAATTAACTTCATATGAAAATTTTTAAAATTTAAGGGCAGAGGTTTACAAGAAAGTAATTCATCAAAACTTAAGAGAAAATAAAACAATAAAAACTAATATTTCGTTATGGAAATATGTAGCGTTATGTCTGTTACAAATTACACAAATTATATAATAAGAATATTCAACAGGTTATATATTTATAAGTAGACATTTGCTATTATATTTATTTAATTATTTTAAAAACAAAATCATATCTCAAAAAATCTATGTGTAATGTACGCGTATACAATCTAGTTCTGTAAAAATTGTGTAGTGGTATCATCCCATTCAATGGGTCTCTTTGAACTTTGACGCTACCTTAAATTGGTAATTTCTATGTTTTGGAATAAAATGAGTAAGGTTCATTTGGATTTTAATTTTTTTATTAGCTTATGCAACAGTTTTTTAATCTCAAAAAATTTATTTAGGTTGATTTAAGAAAATTGATTTTATGAGTGTTTCTTTCGACTTTTTAGAGTTTTGTCGCAAGTCTCGTATAACCTTTTAATTTATTATATTCATAAAATATTAGTAGTGACATACAAAATTTTAAAATTCATATTTTAGGAATTATTATATATAATCTATACATACATACAAATATTTTTTAATTTTGACACAAAAAGTCCAAAAAATTATAAAGTCACTCAAAATGGATATTTCCAATTTTTTAAAGAACACCCCCAAACGGTTTTGGGGGACTTATTTTAATTTGTGAAATTTTTTGAATCGCAGCTTTTTATCTAAGAAAGTTAGTTTCAATCAGACCTAATGTCTAAGGCTTCAATAATCTTCAGGAAAAAAATTTGAAAACAAAATCAAAAAGCAACAGCACAAAAAAAAAATATTTAATTCAATTAAAGACGTCCACTACATATAAAAGTAAGAATTAAAATTTTTTAAAAAGAAAAAAATTTGGATGATTTGCATTTATGTGAAAAGTGAAAACTGATAAAAGTTTCCATGTCTACATTCTTCGTATGTACCACATTCTTACACATCAAGGACAGCGAAAAAGAAAATATTCATAGTCCTGGGGCCAACATAGGCCGGTACCTTGATGGGAGAGGATAAGATTTTTGTGGTTACTATTGGTACGAAATTAGTTAGTTTGGGTTAATTATTTTTTGGTATGAACTAATATATAATACGATTCGTTAGTCAAACACGAATAATATAAAATTGATATAATTAACATGTTTAAGTAGTATTATAAGAATAAAATATTAATTTTTTATTATATTTTATCAAGAAGTGATCTAATTCTTGTTTAAAAAAAATATTATTACTCATTTTTATTAAATTAATTTTTAATTTATAGAAAAAGTATGAGTATTGGTTCGATTAAGTGATAAAAAAAGTTTTAGACATAAAATTGAGCGTTAATTTTTTTATTCACGGGTTATATGGAACGACACGAATAAGACATGAAAATTAATAGATAGACATGACATGATTAGTAAATCGAATTGGATTAAGGTTGTCGAAACGTTTGTCAACCCTATCAACAATAATCAAATGCTCAACAAAATATATACCATGTTTTCCTTTTTCCTTTTTTTTTTAAGAAATATATGCGGTTGATATAAGTTTTTACTTTTTCATTTTCCGATTTAGCTTCTCTCCGATTAGAAAACCCCCAATTCTATTTGACTGGTGATCATCAGTCAACATCAAGAACTCTTAAATTCAAATAGGTCCTTTCAACTTTTAAATTTAAATTTAAATTTTGGGGTTAGTCATTAAGTTTGATGATGTGCAAATCGGTGTTGTGTAAAATCAACAGTCAAAAATATAAACGGATGCAGTCAATGAACAATAAACAAACAATTAATGATAAAACAATAAATAAATAAACAATACATATTGTGGTTCGATCCGGGTGACCTATTCCACTTTCGAGAACGACAACAGTGACCTAAGTCTTTTATTAATGAATAAAGTCGTCGAAGAGAGTATTCTCCAAGAGTCTTACAGTACTTAGAGGGAGAGAGAGAATAGTGTGCGTAAAAAGATGTAGTATGTGCAGGGATCTCAAGGTCATGAAGGCATCAAAAAGGTGATGAGGTGATACCCTTTATGTAGAGAGGATTTACATTATATAGGCTTAGTAAGACGGTGAGGCGGTAACGTGAGAGAGATGACTTTTACTATTTTGATAAGTATAATTTTAGTAGGATTGGATCTCCGTATCTCGATATTCTTTCCCTCGTATTCTTATTCTGTCAGAGGACGATCCTGAACTAGGTTGAACTTGAGTCGGAGTGACAAAGTGAAGAGTGCGAATGACTGCGCAGGAGAGGGAGCATGAAACTAAGGAGGAAAGGGATCCCCTTAGGGTGACCCCCCTTGGGAGGCGCCTCTTTGGGGTCTCCCCTTTAGACTCCTCTTTGACTTAATAACTTGGACTCTGAGATAACATGAACTTCTCTTAATTTGTTGGGCCTGACCAGTTAATTTCAAACTCATCAAAGATTATTTCTCTTTCAACAAGGGATCCTAATAG